AGCGGCCACTGCACTCCAGTCTGAGCGACAGAGTGAGACTCCAACTCGAAAAAAAAAAAAGAATTCATGCAAGAAATTACTTTTACCACTTTTTCTTATCAAAACATTTGCTGATCTTTTATTGATAATTCTGGACTTTGCAGTTATTTTGAAGACTGTAAAAGTATCTATGCCAACCAAGCCTTGCCTTTTTTTTTTTTTTTTTTTTTTTGAGTTGGAGTCTCACTCTGTCGCCCAGGCTGGAGTGCAGTGGCACACTTATGGCTACCACAGCCTCTACCTGCTGGGCTCAGGAGATCCTTCTGCCTTCCAGGTAGCCGGAACTCCAGGCATGCGCCACCACGTCTGGCTAATTTTTTTTATTTATTGTAGAGACGAGTTCTTTTCATGTTGCCCAGGCTGGTCTTGAACCCACAGGCTCAGGCAATCCTCTCGCCTCACCCTCCCAAAGTGTTGGGATTATAGGCATGAGCCACCACACCCTGCCCCCATCATGCCATTTTTAATTATATTTTTAAAAACATCTTTGTTTCTAATTTTAAATATAACATATTATCAGTACTTTTTGCCATGTACTTATAATACAGGAAAAATACAGTAAGTGAAATCTCTTCAGAGATATAATTTTAAAAAAACAAACAACTGGGTGGTGGCTCATGCCTATAATCCCAACACTTTGAGAGGCCAAGGTGAGAGGATTGCTCAAGACCAGGAGCTGGAGACCGGCCTGGGCAACATAGTGAGACCTTGTCTCTACTAAAAATTAATTGGGCTTGGTGGTACGCACCTGAGCCCAGGAGGTTGAGACTGCAGTGAGCCATGAGCTTGCCACTGCCCTCCAGCAGCCTGTGTGACAGTGAGACTTGACTCAAAAAAATCAAATTACAAAACCGGGCTCAGTGGCTCAGCCTGTAATCCCGCGCCTTGGGAGGCTGAGGTGAGTGGATTGCCTGAGCCCGCGGGTTCGAGACCCACCTGGGCAACTTGGCGAGAACTCATCTCTACAATAAACCAAAAATCAGCCAGGCGTGGTAGCGCGCGCCTGTAGTTTCAGCTACTTGGAAGACTGAGGCGGAAGGATCACCAGACCCCAGCAGGTCGAGGCTGCAGTGGCCGGGAGCGGCCACTGTACTCCAGTCTGGGTGACAGAGTGAGACTCCAACTCAAAAAAAAAAAAAAAATTAAATTATAGCTTAGCAAATAATTTCCTCCCCATGCAGATGTAATCTTTTTCATTTACTACATTTTTTCTGTATATAGCAAAAAGTATGCAGCAAAAAGTACTAAATTATTTTTATAGTTTTAATTTTTTTTTAATTTTTAGAAATATTTTTATTTATTTTTTTAGAAAGCAGGATTTATTGAGATGATAAACAGCTCCCACAGTGGGAGGGGACCTAAGGGGTTTGCCTAACAATATATATTATGTTTAAAACTGAAAACAGAGGCCAGGTACAGTGGCTCACACTTAATCCCAGCACTTTGGGAGGCCGAGGTGAGAGGATTGCCTGAGCCCACGAGTTTGAGACCAGTCTGGGCAACTTGGCGAGACCTCATCTCTACAATAAATCAAGAAAAATTAGCCAGGCGTTGGTGACATGTGCCTGCAGTTCCAGCAACTTGGAAGGCTGAGACAGAAGGATGGCCTGAGCCCAGCAGGTTGAGGCTGCGGTGGCCAGCATACCACTGCCCTCCAGCCTGGGTGACAGAGTGAGAATCTTATTTAAAAAAAAAAAAAAAAAAATTGAAAACAGTACCTAACCCCGAACTGCACTCCACATCTTTAAAATTTAAAAAAAGTGAATGAAAAACCAAAATTGAAAACGAGGACATTTTTTAAAATGTAATTTAAAAAGGCATGGTCATGCTCGCTTCAGCAGCACATATACAGAGATTAGCATGGCCCCTGAGTAAGGATGACATGCAAATTTGGGAAGCATTCCATATTTAAAAATTAAAAAAAAAAAAAAGAAAAAGCATGGTGAGCATACTCATTTGACAACCTTCAGAATAACTACAAAGTCCAGGATTAACAATAAGTGATCAGCAGATGTTTTGATATGAAAAAGTAGTGAAAATAACTTCTAACATGGGAAATGGTTCAACATTGAACATTTTATACACAAATTTGTCAAAAAATTCAATTTTATTAAGCAGGGGCTTATTGTCAAAAGACAAAAAATGAAATTGTCAAATGAAAGCTAATATTCTCTGAAAGGGTTTCAGGACACAACATTTAAATTTTGTTAGTATCATCGTCTTCAGCAGGTTAGGTTAAAATATATTTCTGTTGATTAGAAAAGCAATACAATGACAGAAAAATAGTGGAGAACCACTGTTAAATGAAGAATAAGGATAATTTCTTAAAAACCCTGTATACATCCTGAAGTTAACAATGAAAGGGTTTGCCTAGTTGTAACTATAAGGGACTTCACAATTAATTTGGTAGCTCCTCATGATCTGGAAAAAAGCAGGCTGTCAGCATTGTTTGATTCATTTTAAGAGCAGGAGTCTTAAATAACCTATATTAGAATACAAGTGATTTTAATTATTAGCACATTGCTCCAATTGCCTTGCTTGGAAATAGGTCCATATGCTGTGATTTTTTTTTTCCCCCTCTAAGACTGATACACACATCAGGTGATCTTACCCAAAACAGCTCTGGAAGTCCTTTTCATAGCGTTTACTGTCAGTGAATCGAGAACTGGAGGACTTAGCTCTGCAAATACAGCAGCCCTCTATACTCCGGTACATCTTTGGCTTGTGAAAACCAAACATCTTTTCTTCTGAGCAATAGTCTGTAAAGCCAAGGGAATTGACACAGCTTTGTTAAGGGCTATAACAAGAAACCATTAAAAGAGTTCTCTCTGCTCCACCCCACCCCCCAGCAAGTTGGTGTCTAAGACTAAGCCAGAGGCAGGCTCTGGAAGACCTCTGGGATCTACATTCATTCTTGGCACTATCATGGCAAGTGTGTAAGACACACAGAACAGCTCAGCTATTTCAGGAGCTCTCTACTACCTCTTTCTAACTCTCCTAGCAAACACTCACTCCGAAAATGGGAAAGAGAAGCATTTGTTTTAAATCAAGTTTTTAAGCAAAAAATAACACAAACTCTCCCCACAATCCTATAAAATGATAAAATCATGCATAATCAAGGGTGCAACCTAAAATTTAAGACACGCTTTTTTATTATGCACCTTTGCATTAACATGTTTCCCCCTGGGAAAGTTCTAAGCACTTACCATGACCACCACTGATACTAAGCACACATCTTTGCCTTATGAGAAATCAGAGGGGATTTCTTCTGTGACTAAATGAGAAGTTCGAAGCAGTCCAGTTTGGTCCCGAATTGAAACTACAGAAAGGAGGATGTAAAATTCACACAAATCCAAGGTTGGAATTTAAGAATAGTAATTCCACAAATCAGGCCAGGCGCAGTGGTTCAAGCCTATAATTCTAGCACTTTGGGAGGCCAAGGTGAGAGGACTGTCTGAGCCCAGGGGTTCAAGATTAGCCTGGGCAACTTGGCGAGACTTCGCCTCTACAATAAATAAAAAAAAAAATTAGCCGGGTGTGGTAGCATGAGCCTGTATTTCCAGCTATTTGGAAGGCTGAGGCAGAAGGATCGCCTGAGCCCAGCAGGTCAAGGCTGAGGTGGCCGTGGGCATGCCACTGCACTCCAGTCTGGGAAACAGAGTGAGACTCCTACTCCAAAAAAAAGAAAAAAGCTAAACATAGAAAAAGTACCAAAAAATATCATATCATAATCTTAGGTGACCACCATCCCATATGCAGTCTGGCAGTGAGTAAGATGTCTTTATGTGGCAAATGGCCGTATTTGTCTTTGGAGTATCTCTCGCCTGATCCCATTCCATTCCGATTCTGGTTAGCATACCAGAGAGCAAATATCAATGAAGTGATTCAGAAGTAACCAAATATCTAGAATTTCTGTCTTTGTGTGTATTATTTTTTAGACTGAGGGATTCTGAAATATGGACAGAGGTTTTAGGTTTTAAAGAAAACATTTTAAGATTTTTAAAAATTTTTTTTAGCAAATTGGCTAAAAATCAAAGCTTTCCCTTTTAAACAGGGGCTATTGTTAATGAAGTGCTCCTCTTCAGTGTTTTCTTAGTGATGTCTTATGATTCATAATCCTTCTTTATATAGCTATGACCTTATTTTTGTCCTGACAAAATTCTTCTGCCTCGCCTGGGCAACATAGTGAAACCTCATCTCTATAAAAATCGAAAAATTAGCCAGGCATGGTGCCGTGCGTGCCTGTAGTCCCAGCAACTCAGGAGGCTGAGGCGGAAGGATCGCCTGAGCCTAGGAATTCAAGGCTGCAGTGAGCTGTGATTGTGCCACTGCACTCTAGCCTGGGTGACAGAATGAAATCACGACTCAAACAAAACAAAAAGAATTCTTTTGCCTGAACAACTGGGAGGATCTCAGGCAAAGGAGTAGGATGGCAAGAGATTTCATTCTTCATTTGAGGAATATTCTTCTCAGACATAAGGGAAAGACAGCCTGATGTCTTATGATTCGTAATCCTTCTTTATATAGCTATGACCTTACGTGTGTTCTGACAAAAGTAATTATTTTATTATTATTTAATTATTCACATTTCAATCATTAAATCTGAACTAACAGTTACCTCTAAGAATTGTTAAAACAAGAAAACACAATTATATTTGGTTGATACTCACTTAAGTAAAATGCTTGGGAATTTGATATTTTTAAGAGGAAAAAAATGAGGATGTACCCTATACCCAGTGAGAAAAATACAATGAGGCCTGTTAAAATAAGGCGGATTTTTTTTTTTTTTTCCAATCCAACAACACACATGATCACTGAAAAGAAAACGGCCTCCTGAAGAAAATGGTCATGTGTTGCTTTGGGAAAAACAATGTCAAATGACAGAGGACTGCAGAAACAAAAAAGCAGAGTAGAAATTCCTCCTTTAATTTGTATATTCCTGTTTTTTTTGTTTGTTTGTTTTTGTTTTTTTTTTTGAGTTGGAGTCTCACTCGGTCGCCCAGACTGGAGTGCGGTGGCCGGGAGCAGCCACCGCAGCCTTGACCTGCTGGGCTCCGGCGATACTTCCGCCTCAGCCTTCCAAGTAGCCGGAATTACAGGCATGCGCTACCACGCCCGGCTGATTTTTTGATTTATTGTAGAGATGAGGTCTCGCTGCCCAGGCGGGTCTCGAACCCACGGGCTCAGGCAATTCACTCACCTCAGCCTCCCAAAGGCGCGGGATTACAGGCTGAGCCACCGAGCCCGGCTTTGTATATTCCTGTTTTAAGGCAAAATGTAATACAGCTGTTGCCCTCACACCAACCTGTGGACTTCTCAAACTCCCCTAACACCCTGTGTTACCATCAAGGTCAAAAGCCCACAGTTCCTCTTATAGTCTCTAGCTTTATCATTAGCTCTAGGAAACCTCAGCCTCCCTTCTCAGCAAGGACAAAAGGAAGTACAGCAAAAAAGGTCAGTTCATTTCATTAATACCCAGACCAAATCCTATTTCAATAGATAGCCCTCTACCCTCACAATCTTTGCCTTCCCCCAAAATAAACGTCATCTAAACTATCTAGCTTTCAGCTCATCTCTAAGATATGAACTACCTTCAATGAAGCTGGACTTGACCAAGAAGCATAGTTTGTGCCAGTTATCACACTGGCAAGCTGTTCAGGAATGCTAGGGCAATACTTAAAACTGAGGCTTTATTTTTAATCAGCAGCTGTTGTGAATCAAGTGTTCATCTTCAATGATTTTTTTGTTGGTGGGAACCGCCACAAAACTTACCTACCAGCCCCTGGCAAGAGATTTCATTCTTCATTTGAGGAATATTCTTCTCAGACATAAAGGAAAAATAGCCTGATGTCTTATGATTCATAATCCTTCTTTATGTAGCCGTGACCTTACTTCTGTTCTGACAAAATTCTTCTGCCTGAATATCTGAGGATCTAAATCCTAGAGTTTACTCTCTTCTAGGCAGTGCTCAGAGAGTCACACAATGAGGTGGCAGACACTTGCCCTGATACAAACACAACAAGCACATGAACCTAGTAATGGATGACTACTTACTAAACCTCTTAAGCTTTTTCTCAGCTTATCCCTACATTTGAGAGGCACCTGCCTGGGAGGAATCTGCAGCAAATTCACAGGGGTTTCATTGTGGGCTTTGTTTACAGCAACCAAGTTAAGCAGCGACTGGTTTTAACCATTTTGAGGTTTGGGGAGTCCTGAGAGTAACTCAAAAGTCTTTTCACACAATCTACAAACCCACTGATGTTTAAAAAACAAGACAAAAACACTAATCTATAGAGGAAAACCAAGACACAAAATAGCCCATGAATCCAGTTACTTTGTACATTTGAGAGGGGGTAAGTGGGTCTGGCACAACTTGATTTCAAATGGAAGACTTCTATTTTTTCAAGCAACCTGACGGTTCTTTAGAATACTTCTTTCCTAGTTCCACATTTGTGCATTAAATGATTCTTCCAGAACGTTCTATCCTACTTGTTCAAATGACACCATCAGCTGTTAAACTATTTGTGACATTTACATCTATTCTCATAGACACCATATCACTCACTCTTATTTTTTTAACAGAACAATGCTAATACCATCTGCTTCATAACTGATGAATAGTTACAGTTGAGAGCAGACCCCATACAATCTCACCCTTAAGCATTTGTTTGAGGAAAGCAGGAGAAAATTAAGCTTTGAGATAATGCTAAAAATTAGGAAAAACTTAAAATACCGATTAAAAACTGTCTTCAGTCTTTTAAAATTAAACAGTGGTGATAGTTGCAAAACTCTGTGCGTACACTAAAAGACAGCTGTATATATCACAAGAGTCCATTTTATAGTATATGAATATTTCAATAAGCCTGTTTTTGAGACAAAATAAAAATAACTGGATTAGAAATTCACCAACCATGATCACTTTTGTAACCTCAGAATCTAGGATGCCAGTCTCATAGTAGATGTGTCAACCCAAAAGAAGACACTGAGGCAGAAATCTCCATTAAACAAGGTTTATTATGCCAAGCTGGAGAACAAGTGTCTGGAAAGCACAAGTTACAGTGTTTATAACCTGTGTTCTTAAGAAGATTACATGAGGCACAGTATTTATACTTTTTTAACAGGGGGATGTGTGCAGTGCAGGGGGGGTGGAGCAACAGTTACATTCTTGTGAACTTGATTGGCGCTCAGTGATGTTATACATAAGGTAAAGTAAATATGTGGTTGCGTGGGTAGAAGAAAAAGGTTAATAATTGTGTAGGTGTCCTAGGGGCCGCCACAATGATGATTGATTCCACCCTGCCTTTGTTCTACATCCGATAAACAAGTTTACAACCAGTACCTGTCGGTAAAATATTTAACAAACTCCAGTTACAAAGGCAAGGGGTCAGCCTCAGTAAGTGGCTGTGGTTGTACTACCCTCACGTCTGAACTGCCGCCATCTTGGGCCACTTTTTTTTCTTCTAACCCTATCATCATCTACCTACAGTATGTTTTCTCAAGTTCCTTGAAATAGGACAAACATTTCAAGATGTTTCTCAAGACTTGAGGAGTTACAGTTAAAACATGCCTATGTATGGGAGGCTGCGACACATTTCTAACTGATACAGCTGCTTTGCATGTACACACATTCCTGAGCCAAAAAAAAAATCTAGCAGAGGCCCACGTCCATAAGCTTTTCCTTTTATTTTTCACATTCCCCTCTTCTGATCAACAGTTTTCTTTAGAGAACATGGATGGTGGGACTTAAATGTCCTTTTTATCTCTTGGGGCAGGGAAGGCTCATTCCCAGGAAGTCCCACACACTGGAGGGAAAGAGGTGAGTGAGAACAAGGCTGATGTAAGCCTGCGCCGAACCCGAACAGGGCGCTCCAGGGGTACATAATGGTTCGTTCTACGGATCAGCTCTACACATTGTGCTACCATTGATTCTGGTTTTAGCAACAGACTTACCGCAGTTGGTTATAGACGCCATGAGTAACTTGATAGGAAAAGAATAGAAACTATAATTAGAACAAGGGCTTGAATTGCCCACCGGAAGAAATGACCTGCCTGGGAAGCCAACTAAATAGGTCACTGAGAGGATCAATAGTTGGTGCCTCATGTAACCACTTAGCTGACTGGGAAGTTTTTTCTATGTGAGTCTTTACCTGAGGTGTTGGAGTTAATTGCTTATCTTGTTTATCTCTATCACCCAGCACTACTTGAGCCAAGTAGTTCAGAGACTTGTGCTGCAGTGTTTTCTGCAGCAGCTTTGGCAATGTGTCCTATTACGGTTGAGGGACTTCTCTTTTAAAGTATTACCTATATCCAGGAACAACTATACCAGGAAGCTCTGCTTCTCGATATCCTCCTGGTAGCTCTCTTTTATTCTTGTGGAGATGAAATAGCAAGATGGAGTCATCTTCAAGGTTGGAATAGATAGAAAATGGAGCAAAAAAAAGACAAAGCCCTTCAATTTGCCAACTACTTACACACCTATGTGCCCATACTTGGGTTGTGAGTCTGACCCAATGCCACATACGAAAATGTATCCCCTAGGGGTGTAAGTCATAACCCCAAGGGTACAACCATCTAACCGTTCGTGGTTAACATGTTTAAAACAGGCGTGAGCAAGCCATAAATCAGTTTCACTGCAGGCCTTCCAAAAGCCTGCACAGGTGTGATAGTTAACAAATGGGAGCTGCTGGCATAATTTGTTTTGTTTTTTCTCCTTTGGACATTTGGTTGCTGGATGTAACAGTGAGGATGGGAGGGTAGCTATCTGCAGGGACACCAGCCTGGAAAAAGTGAGGACTAAAGCACGTGTTCTACATATGTGATGTTTAATATTAGGTGCCAACTTGACTAGACGGAGGGATGCATAGATGGCTGGTGAAGCACTGTTTCTGGGTGTGTCTGTGAGGGTGTTTCCACAGAGGAATGATATCTGAGTCAGTGGACTGGGAGAGGAAGATCTGTTCTCAATGTGGGCAGGCACCATTCAATTCGCTTGCCAGCATAGCTACTAGAACATAGACAGAAGAGGGCTAAGTAGCTTGCTGAGTTTCTTTCCTCTCTCTCTCCCTTCCCTAGCAGGATGTTTTGTTTCCTCTCTTCCTGCCCTTGGACATCAGCCTCCAGATTTCTCAACCTTTGGACTCCAGGACTTGCACCAGCAGCTCTTCAGGGACTCTCAGATCTTCGGCCTCAGAAGGCTGCAGCATTGGCTTCCCTGGTTTTGGGCTTTCAGACTTGGACTGAGCCATGCCACCAGTTTTTCTCATTGCCCAGTTTGCAGACAACCTGTGGTGGAACTTCACCTTGTAATTTGTGTGAGACAATCCTCCCTAATACATTCTTTGATATATGGTACACATATATCCTAGTGGTTCTATCACTGTGGAGAATCCTAATACAATGTAGGTTAGAGAATTCACTCCTGATTGGTTTAGGGGTAGACAGGTCCTGTGCTAGGGGAGACATTACTAAGCAGGGAATGGAAATATGGTCTGGCTTTAGAAACTGATTTCGGAAAGTGACGTTGGAGGGAGCGATGCAAATAAATGGTAACTTCAGGGTGTCAGAAAAATCAGTGGCATGTAACAATCTTGAATGGCCCTTGGAAACTGATGACAAATCCATCAGTCTGAGAGATTGTCTCTATCTGCCACACTTTGGGAGAGTTTAACCGATGAATTACCTTTCCATCCCCAGCAGAGAACCTGAAAAGTTAATAAATGACACTATGTGTAGAGAAACGTTATATATCCTATAATCTGAGTCATTAGTCAGGGCCAACCGTCCTCAAGGTAAACACAGTACTCCAAGAATGTTTAGACAGATCATACAGACCCAGTCCAGAGTCTTGTGTCAATTAGCTGTCCACCTCAGATGTTGTCCACTTCTTGTCCTGGTCTGAGGGATGAAATTGTTTGGTGAATCAAAGACAAAGATCTTTGGTGAGTATCATGGTCCATTTAGGAGACTGTGTCTTTTTAAGGTCAGAGATTTGAATCTATGAGTCTACACCCTATAACTGTGCAGCACACGGACTAGTCAACAGGACATGTTGGGGAACTCTCCACTGAAGCCAGAGGGAGTCCTTCATGGAATGTCTCTTCCAATAAACAAAATCTCCAGGAGGACACCATGGAATGTATCTTTCAGTAAGGTCTGGCTTTTCATGAGTGGTGAATAAGTCCCTTACAATACAGTAAGATGCCCCCTTTGAGTAAATTTGAATCAGTCATCTCAGTTCCCATGTGCATAGGTCTTCCAGTTACAATTTCCAGAGGGGTCAGCTTATGTCTTCTGAAGGGGTGGATCAAAGTTAAGCAATACCAAGGAGAGAGCTTTCAGTCAGAAAAGGTGAAAAGCCTCCATAAACTTAGCTAATTGTGTTTTTAGTATTCCACTGATCTGTTCTACCAATCCAGAGGACTGAGGGTGGCAGGCAAAATGAAACATAGGCCAAATTCTATAAATGCGCTGACTGGCCTGGCCAGTAAAATGAGTTACCCTATCTCTGTGATACTCAAAAAGGACTCTGCATAACGGGATGATCCTTTCTAATAAGATTTTACCCACTGCCACTGATGTTGTCTATCGGCGGGGGAAAGCCTCAACCCAACGCAAAAAAAAATGCAAATAATTACCAATATATATTTGTATCTTTAAGATAGCAGGAGCTGGCCGGGCTCGGTGGCTCAAGCCTGTAATCCCGCGCTTTGGGAGGCCGAGGTGAGTGGATTGCCTGAGCCTGTGGGTTCAAGACCCGCCTGGGCAACTTGGCAAGACCTCATCTCTACAATAAAAAATCAAAAATCAGCCGGACGTGGTAGTGCGCGCCTGTAGTTCCAGCTACTTGGAAGGCTGAGGCGGAAGGATCGCAGGAGCCCAGCAGGTCGAGGCTGCGGTGGCCGGGAGCAGCCACTGCACTCCAGTCTGGGCGACAGAGTGAGAATCCAACTCAAAAAAAAAAAGATAGTAGGAGCTGGATGAAATCTCCCTGCCATATCTCAAAAGGTCCAGCTGGAAGAATAAAATGCCCCTAAGCCCACGTGAAAGGGTTTTCCAGAGTTGGCATTTGAGCAGATGAATAAATTTTCTGTGCCACCATGAGTGATGATTAACACCAAAATATTTTATCTGAACTCCAATGGATTACACCATGAATGTATTCCACGAGGGGCATCTGATACCTCATTGGGATAACGGGTGTATCGTTAGATCCATACCTTAGTTCAGTTTGGGGAGAAAAGTACTCCCCCTTCTGTTTCATACGCATTTCAAGTTTTATAGTCATTCCCAGGATCTGGGGCTGGCAACTCAAATGTAGCTCTTTTAGCTGCTCCCTCAGCAAACTGACTACCTTGCCTCTGTGTTGTATCTAATTTGAAGTAGCTTGGAACCTTTATAATTTGCCAAAAGTTTTGGTTGGAGAATCGCCTCCGATAGCTGCAAGACATGTTCACTGCTTAAGGGTTTGCCCCGAGGAGGTTAAATACCCTCTCGCTTTCCACAGCATTATAAACATGGGCAACCCCAAATGCATAGCAGCACGTTTGCTACCTTATTCTCCACTAGTTGACAAACTCAAGTGCGAGCAGTCACTTGTACTGACCTAGCCTGGGCAAAAGGACCAGCTTCAATGGCCACAGTGCACACTGCTTTTAACTCACCACCCTCTCCCCTCAAGGAACATACATCTGTAAATCATTCTTTCTCAGCATTAACTCGTGGTGTTTCTTGCAGGTCTTTCCTTGGGTAAGAAGTTGCTCAGTCATCAGGATGCAGTCATGAAGGGTGTTGCCAGAGGATCCCAGCTAGAGTAGCCAAAGAACTGATTGTTACAATGAGAGATGGTAAATCTATTAACAGAAAAGTGTTAAGTATGATAAGAATTCAGAAGAATTTCAATTGAATGTGGAGTGAAGATGGTAAGAGGGAAGCCTATGACTGTCTCTTCAACATTTTTATATAGAAGGGTGGTGGCGAATACTGCACTAATACAAGGAGGCAGATCTAATTGCTGACTGTTAATAGCCTATAGGGCTTTGTTGATCACCAGGGCTTTGCTGATTACCATGTTTCTGAGTAAGCATGCCACACGCTTCCCTGTCTTCATGAACAAAAAGTAACTGAGAAAACAAAGTGGGGCTCGCCGGGCTCGGTGGCTCAGCCTGTAATCCCGCGCCTTTGGGAGGCTGAGGAGAGTGGATTGCCTGAACCCGCGGGTTCAAGACCCTCCTGGGAAACTTGGCAAGACCTCATCTCTACAATAAATCAAAAATTAGCTGGGCATGGTAGCACGCGCCTGTAGCTCCAGCTACTTGGAAGGCTGAAGCAGAAGGATCGCCGAAGCCCAGCGGGTTGAGGTTGCGGTGGCCGGGAGTGGCCACTGCACTCCAGTCTGGGCGACAGAGTGAGACTCCAACTCAAAAAAAAAGTGGGGCTCTGTGGATTCTTGTGGCATCACAGTCCAAGTATGTAATTCTTTCCAGGTAAAGGCAAACAAATGCTGGCTATCTGGATCTACAGGGATGCTGAAAAAGGCACTAGAGAGATCCATAACTGAAAAATATTGGCTGGCATTTGGTATGGCAGACAGAAGAGCATGGGGGTTAGGAACTATTGGATATCTAGGCATTATATATTACATACTGGATATCTAAGTATATTGTTTAGAGTCTTTAAATCTTGTACAAAATATCCATCCCCCTCCCATTCAGTCTCCTGACAGAGAAGATGGGGGTGTTGCAGGGCTGGGGTAGGGAATCAGAAGACCTCTCTCTCGAGATGATCTCATACGAGGTTAGGGAAGGGTTTCTTAGTATTGATCTCAATCTTTATTGGAGTGGCTAAGAGTCTCTCTCCTATGTCTGTGTTAGACTGGGACCATGGCTGGAAAGGAATAGTTAAGTAACTGCTCAACTTCTGGGGTTACCAAAAAAAAAAAAAAAACTGGAGAGTTTAAAAGGAGCTTTATGGTTTCCTTCTCATTATGGCATTTCGTTTTGTTTTTCACATTCATTTTCCCAATCACATGAGGGCATCCTTATACCACTTGATAATATGCCAACTTGTAAGTTGTTTTGTTCACTTTCCCTGACCCAGGGTTAGAATTCTAAAAAACTTCCCCTTTCAGGAAAAAGAAATATAAGCATTATGGATGTTGGGGAAATCTCAACCCAGAAGGTGAATGGGGGGGCTTCAGAGCTTATCAGGAACACATGAGATTGGCTGAGGGTATCACATCCATAGCTCTTGAGAAGAAAACCAAACCCAGAGAACTGGTAAGGCAAAGGTCTGGATTTAAAGAGGTTTATTAGATACATTCACCACGTTACTCTTTCCTTACTCTAAGAATGGAATTTTCAAATAAAGTGGGGTTTATAACCAACAAAAGCAGCTCTCATGTCTATTGCTCATTATTTATTATGTTAATTTCTCCCAAGGGGTTAGTTAAAGCAGAGTACTAGAAGAAACGAAAACCCCTTATGTTCTCAGAGCAGCCCTAGTCTTTCTTAAGTCTTCCTTAAGCTTATCATCCTGTTGTTGTTTCCATCTAAGTGTCTTGCAATCCCTTTTAAAATGCCCTGGTATCCTGCAGTAGTGACAAACCAGGGGAGAAGAGTTCTCAGGGCCAGCAGACTTAATTTTCTTATTAGTCTCAGGATTTTGAAGGTCAGCTGTTGCAATTCTAAGCACATAACTTGGGAAGGTCTTTGACTTTTATTTTTTCGCCATTGTGCAGGACAACTGGTCAGCTAAGCTGCCCAAGTCATTATTCTGGCCATAGTCCAGTTAGTTATTCGACATTTGACAAGAGTGGCTGGTGTATTATCCAAATTGTTTTGAATTATTTTGAAAATCTGAATTTAATGATGAGTCATTTTTACTGTTTTCAAATAGTAAAACAAAAGTTGTCTGCCGATATCACGTAAAATTGTTTTAAAATTGTTATCAAAGCATGTAAACTAATCTAAAATGTACTCATTTGGATTCTGGCAGCACTGTTAGGTTTTATTCCAATCTATGCCCTTTGAAAACCAAGGAAATGACGATCAACAGAGCAGCTCCTCATACCCATGAGTCTTTGCCCTGCCTTCTTGAAGTTGGGGGGCTAGCTGCGACAGTTGTGGGATCCTCGTGGGATCCTTGGGGACAAGATCTGCTAGAGAATTCAATCACTGTTCTTTTTCTAGACATTCCTTAGCTTTAAGAGCTGAAATCAGCATATGGTCAAGCTAATAAAGGTCTGAATGGCCTGGGTCATAGGTTTCAATAGTTAGTTCAAGCGCCTGAGCAAAATCAATCGGATCTTCATAAGGGTCAAGAAACTCCTTCACTATGACTTGTAATTCAGTCTTGAACCAGAATTGACAATTACTGGAGTTCCCCTACCTGTCACAGGCTGTTCATGGAATGGTGCAAACACAAGAGGCATCCCCATAGAGTTCCTGCTCTCTTACTTATTCTGAACAAGAGGTTGCTGCTGGGGCAGGTAGAATGACAGGAGCAGAGGCCTTTGGAGCCATGCTCACTGTTGCAGTCTTAACAAGAGGCAGACAAGAGATGGCAGATCCGGCATGGAAGAGGTCTGGCCTGAGGAGTTCACAAAGATGAGGATGGGGAGAAGATGTAGATGGTAGTAGAGAAGGCGCCAGAGGAGTAAGAAGTTACTGCTGAAGATTTTTTTTTTTTAGAAGATAGAAAATTTGAGAGCTCTCTGTTAAGAATAAATCATAAAGGTTGGCTGGGTGCAGTGGCTCAAGCCTGTAATTCCAGCACTTTGGGAGGCTGTGGTAAGAGGACTGCCTGAGCTCAGGGGTTCGAAACCAGCCCAAGCAAGTTGGTGAGACTTCATCTCTACAACAAATAAAAAAATAGGCTGGATGCGGTAGCACACGCCTGTAATTCCAACTACTTGGAAGGCTGAGGTGGAAGGATCACCTGAGTCCAGTAGATTGAAGCTGCGGAAGCCATGAA